TCATTTTTAAATATTATTTTATTAATTTGCATTTGCATTATTAGGATTTATATTCTGTCCTTATTAAAGGACCTAAACGCACACCTTATGAAGATGGTATTTTTCTGTTTGATTTTCAACTTCCAGCTGACTATCCTAAAATTCCACCTCTTTGTCACTACATATCTTATTGTTCAGATAGGCTTAATCCTAATCTCTATGAAGGTGGTAAAGTTTGTGTCAGTTTGCTTGGTACCTGGGGAGGAAAGGTAAGCTTTCAATATTTTTTAATGTTTAAAAGGTGTGTTAATAATCTTCAATAGTAAATGTTGTAGTTACTTATTATTAATTTAAATCAATTGACAGTATCATATTATTAAACATATACTGTTGTCACATTTAGTCTAAATAGTTGATGTGATTTCTTTGTTTTGACAAATATTTGATGAAAAGTGAACAAGATGACACACAATTTTATGTATTAAGATGCTATTTTTAAAATATTGTATACTTATGTCAAGAAATGTAGATTTATATACAAAAATATATTAAGTACAGAATTAAAATCAATGCTAAAAGATAATGAAAATTTTTACATTTAAATTCTTCCAAAAAATTTTTGGCATTGAATTGAAATTTTTGTAAGTATTGGGGATGAAATCTTAAATTAATTTTTTAAGTATTATAAACTGAAGTAATATTTTATAAAAATAAATTATTTTCCCACAAATGAATACTCTTGATTTTTAAATTAAAATTAATTTACATGAAATTTAGGTAAAACTTTCAAATGAACATAAAAACAAATATAAAATTATTAAATAAACTATAAAATAGTTTACGGAAGTTTTTTATAATAATTATATTTAAGATTAATGATGATAAAAAGTAGTATTAATTTTTATCATTAAAATAAAATTTGTAAACAATTTTTATTTTGTGTGTGTTAAAATTTATTAACTACATTATTAAATCTGAAATTAATTGTTTAATAGGGTACTGAGATGTGGTGTTCATCTACATCTAGTCTCCTTCAAGTTATAATATCTATCCAAGGTTTGCTATTTTCATGAATTTTAACAAACTTTCACCCTTAGATGTTCATAAAAATGTTACCATATATTTATTTATTTAACATAAATAAAGATACAGTAACATTATTCTTATATGGTAACATTTAATTTAAATTATATGGTGTGATCAAAAAGAAACCAGACTGTTACCACTAATTAGCAATAGGGAAGTTGTTTTTTTTCCACCAAGCCAAATGTGAGCATCAGTCTGGTAAGTGGCATTGAGTTTTTCAAATTGGAATACCTACTACATGCAGTTTTGAAACATTTTCTGCAATTTGGGAATGAACTTGAAAATTGAGCAAATTTTGCATTAAATTTGAGAAATCTATTAGAGATATTTGAAATATTTTGGGAGGCCTATGGTAACTAAGCTGTATGTGAAACCACACACTCTGAGACCCAAGAAGGCAAGGAACATCAGGAACAAGACGAAAAAGCATGTTAATTGTTTTTTTTTCAATTAAAGGGAATTGTGTATCAGAAATTTGTTCCTCCTGGTCAGAGAATGAATTAAGACTTTCATTGCAACAATTTGAGATGATTGCATGAGGATGTTCATTGCAAAAGATCAGAACTGTAGCACAGCCAAACCTGGCTCCACCCTGACAATGTTTGCACATACAACTTTCAAAAAATAAGTTTTTTGGCAAAAAGAGCATGAATCTTTCCCCACTCTTCTCATTCACTGGATTTACTCCCTTGTGACTTCTTTTTATTCTTTATAGTAAAACCAAAATACAAGGGATGGCATTTTGATGTGATTGAGGAGATCCATTCCAATCACAACAGGTGCCTTGGAATTTTCAAAATAATGACTTCCGAGGATTGGTTGAGGTTTGATAAAAGTTTGATTGCTCTATAAATATAAGAGGAACTACTTTAAAAGGGATGGCAGCCAGATTTAAATTAGTTAAATATAAAATATTAATAGACAAAATTCAGTTTCTTTTTGATTGCACCTTGTGTATATAATGATGGTTGATTGCATATAAACCATTTAAAAATAGTAAGTGTAATTATACTCATTAAACATAAATATAGAATTTTGCTGTGCTAATTAATCATTATTTTATTTATTCAGGTTTAATTTTGGTCTCAGAACCTTATTTTAATGAAGCTGGTTATGAAAGGCAACGGGGTACCCAGTTAGGGAGAGAAAATAGTCGTATGTACAATGAAATGGTTGTATTAAAATTAATCCAGGTTTGTTGAAAAAATATGTTAATATTATGGAAAATTATCAGGACATTTAGAATTTTTTGCTTAGATGTAATGAATTTGTAAGAAAAATTGTTTGTTTCTTAGTCTATGAGTAAATTAATCCAGAATCCACCAGAAAGTTTCCAGCAAGAAATATTAGAACATTTCAGTCAACATTCTTTAAGGTATATATGTTTTTTAATAGATGATGTAATTTAAAATGAAATATATACTATCAATATTACAGAATAACTAGACCTGTTGTTTGTAAAATAAATATAAATGAGAAATAACTAACAAATAATTAAAATTATATTATTTTCTAATACCATTTGCAGATATGGAAAAATAATATATTGCATATACACATTATTTGTACTTAGATGAAACATCAGAACATATGTAATAAGAGATCTTGTCTTTGAATAAATTTTTCTAAAATTAGTTAAATCTTCATCAAGTAGCCAAAAATTATTTTAATCAAAATATTTTCAGGATTTATCATACCATCTCAGATTTAAACCTGAACCTTTTCCATATTCCAAAGAATATGACAGTTATCTAATAATGAATATCATTAACAGCTTTTATAGTACTGTTAAAAGAAAACATTATTCTTTTGAATAAGGGGAAAAATGAAAGTTTAAATTATTGATGATTAAATGATAAATCCAAAAATATTTCTGTTGAAATAATTTTAGGCTTCTTGAACATTTAAATTTCATTAGAGAGTTCATAAATCTTGAAATAATATCTTGGAAAAATGAATATAATAATGTTCTTATTCAATGAATACTGAACTCTCTGCTTTCTTAGTGTAAAATAAATAAAACAATGTATGCAGTATATGATTTATCTTCTAGTAGGAGTGAATTGAGAAAAATTAAAAAAAAAAAAAAAGAATTCTTTAGAATTAAGCACACAATTTCTATAGAGAACTTATCACATAGAAAACTTTTGTTGATGGAAAAAGTAGACTTTATTTTGCATTTTGTTATGAAAGGAAATGTGTTTTGGGTTATTTGTCCTTTATCAGTCCATAGTGTATAACATGGTAAACCTGTAATGATATCTAATAGTGGCCATTGGAATAACTAAGTATTAAAAAATGTAGGAGTAAAACAAGTGAAACTGTAAAACTAAAAAGGTAAAACTTGCTAAAATATAGAAAAGTTGACAAAAGGTAAAAAACAAAAAATTTATAATAAAACTATAAAAAATGGCTAAAATGTAAAATGTTTCAATGTACATTTATCAGGTGGCATAGTGCTACTTAATATAAACATCAGAAACTCAAAAGATTTGAGTAGAAAAACTCAAGATTCTTTTTTTTCTACATTACTAATAATGGTTTCAAAAACGGTAGAAAAAAATCTTTATTAAAACTTTTTAAAAATATTTATTGTCTCTGGATAGTTTTTGAAAATATATTTTTAAAAATTTCAAAAAAGAATTTAAACATTTGATATAAAGTTTTGTAAACTGGCTTATATGATGGTTACGTGCTATATTATAATATTGATCACTGAATTTTTTAACATACAGAAATTATACTACTAAACAGATTCTAATAGTATAAAATAATTATTGCCTTACCAAATTACTGTAAATCCTCTTGCACATTCTAAGTTTTTAAAAGGTTATGGATTAATTATTGATATCAAAATATTAATTCTTTCTAAGGTTAAAATGTTCGTTAGCAAGTTGTTGTTTTATTAATTGTTTTTATTCTTTACATTGATTTAACTAAATACACTGTATATTCAATAGAATAGTAGATAATATTTTATTTTACTTATTTATAAAAATTTTTTACTTTCAGATTAGTCAATCGGTTAGAACATTGGTTGGAAATATCTGATAATTGGAATATAGATCATCCTACATCTCCCACTTCACCCACACTCTTTAAAGAAATGTACAGTAAAAATGAAAGTAGGTGAAAATTTAATTTTTATATGTAAAATAATAATTACACTAGAATTGCAGCTACTTTATGCTACTTAGGACTGTAGCAATCATTTTAATCAGTTCTCATATTCAATATTCTGTAAAACTAATGCAAAACTTTCTTTGTGAAACTGTTATTGCATACATTAGTTTTACTTAAAATATTATATAACTTAATAAAAGTTTCAATCTCAAATGTTTGTATTTTTTTACATTATTACACTTAATACAGAGTGAAGTATTTACTTTTGACAAAACACCCTTTCCATGCTTAATTTTTTAAAATTTTTACATATTATCAAAGTTGTATTTTCTTATTTAGTCATTTGACACGTCTTTTCTACCATTTTTAAATATCTAATATATTAATGTATACAAATAATGCATAAAGTGACAATCTTTAATCTGTCTTTACTGAGAAGTTTCTTACTATTTGATCCAAGATTTTAACTTTATACTCATACTGTTATAAAATAATAGCATTTCAGGTCATTTTTTTTTTGTATCTGGCTCTAAATCTTTCAACAGACCATTTACAGAAAGTTACTGGATATTTGACTACATTTCATAATTTACAAAAAGTAAAAACATTTTAGAAACTTATTTAGAATTTATTTCAATAGCAACCTAAAACTCAATTTTTAAATGTAATATTTATAAGCCTTGTACTGAGTAAATCGGCATCTTGATTTAGTAGGAAATATTTACTTAGTTTTCAGATGTATCTCCTTTTGATATATAAAAATATTTCTCAATGAGAAAGCAAAAAAAATTAACTTTTTTTTAATTTATTTAACATCAGATTTAATATTTTCAATCTTTCAAAATCTGTTCTGAAATATAGTTTCTTTGAAAGAAAGTATATTGTAAAAAATAGATTACAAGTAATCTACTTCTAACTTCCTCTGTTTGCTACTTACAATAACAAAGATGCTATTATACTTGAAGAAGTTTTAGTTACAGTTCTACCATTGAGAACCATTAGTAATATTAGAAAAATTAAAAGGTATAAAAGATGAACTAGTAACAAATATATTTGTGAC